AGTTTATAGCAAAATGCATTGTTTCTATTTGGGGTCATTTTTGACCCCACTCGTGGAAGAGTGTAGGTACTGGTAGGTTGTGCATCCAAGGGTTAACAGACATCTAATAAACAAAATTATTTCTTGTTTCCTTCCTTACTGTTTGCAATATAGAGATAAACAGAGTTTGGTCAGCAAATTAAGAATATTTATAATAGAAGAACAAACCTCGTGACATTTGGATTTGAACTGATTCTTCAGTTTCTCTGCTTTTTCTTTCTGCTGCTGGAGCTGATTGATGATTTCAGTATTCATCTGAAATGTTACACGAAGAAAGAGCAGAAGAAAGAAAAGCTGATGTTTAAGACAATCATGATAACACAACTAGTCACAGTTACATTATGTAAATATAAGTTGGTTCATACAAATGAGAAATGAACAAAAAATGTTTTTATTTAAACGTTTTCTTTTTAAATAATTCAAATAAATTAAGGTCCAAAGAATATATGTGATTTTGAATGTAGTTTCCCAAAATAAAAGTAGAAAAAAACAAAACAAAAAAGAAAATGCACACACAAACACACACACACACACACACACACACACACACACACACACACACACTATAACATGTATAAAATGTGATTTATGAAAAAAAGAGCAACTATTCAGTTTATCTTTTACTTGAGTGCAGCTGGATTTCTGTGTCACTAAAAGGTTTTTGGTGTTTTTTTGTTTGTTGGTAAAGTTTAACAGCATAAGTGTCAGAATTAAACGTGAAAACATAAAAACATCTCTTTGAATGTTTCCCTTTTTTCATCGTTCCTCTTTTTCTCATTCTTGAGTTTATTTTCCAGCTCCAGACACAAGGAAGAAACATCACAGATTTTAACAGGGAAACAATATTTTTTTTAGTACTTTATGCTTTTGTGCATAAAATGACATATAGTATTTTCTTTTCTTTTTATTGGTCTGTAGGACACAAACTTTGTTTGCAGCTTCATCCATGTTGTCCTGTAATGTTATATACCAAACTGCACCACTAGATGGTGGTGTCATAATAATGCAGAAGAATGATAAACCTGCATAGCTGAATGTGCCGTTACATGTGTGTTTATGCGCTGCATTCATCCAAAGGCACTTGTTCCTTGCTGAGGACGTTTCATTATCAGCCACTATTACATTTTGGCAACGAGTGACTGCAAATGTACATCAATCCAACAGGTAATGCCTGAAGCACAAAAAAGAGCTGTTTTACTTCACTTCTTAGAAACAGAAAGACAAAGAATTTTCTACTCACTTCCAAATACAGGTGACACTTTTGCCTCTGCTGTTACTGCCCTAAAACAACACTTTTTACTTAAAGTAAATGTTGTTGTGGGAAGACAAACTTTCAGAAAGTGAACACAAGCTTCACATGAGACATTCAGTATGTGGCCAGCTTGTGTCACCTTGCTTGTGAGTTTGATTACAGAACAGAAGAAATAATCAGCTAGTTGAATGTGTGTTTAGCTCCGGCATAGCAGAAAGACTCTTGCTTGAACCCGATTTGTCTCTGGATAAAGCTGCTACACTGGCAACACAAACTGAATCTGCAGTTCAACAAACTAAGTCCATAGTTTGTCTGAGTTTCATGCTACAAAATCATCTAAGAACTGTTTCAGGTGTGGTTCAAGCAGTCATCTAGCTAACCTTCATCAGTGTCCTGCTGCCAGAGCTACTTGTAAACTGTGTCATAAAGTTTGCTTATGTCTGCTGATCATCCAAGACAAGAGATGTTTTGCAAGTCCACTTATTAAAACTGACTGTACTTTACTTATCAGACCCTTTGCATGCATCACAAAGATTACAATCCAGCATAAATGTGAGCACAACTACTTCCTAAGCTAAGGACATCCATCTGATTATGGATACAGGCTCAACAGTTTATATTTTTCTTAACCACATCTAGAAAGAGCACTTCAGTGATACAGCACTAAAACCACCTGGCCTTCAACTGGTTACATACACAAAGAAAATAATTCCTGTGTTAGGCTGAACACCAAAATTTTAGGCTCCACTGTTCTGCCCCCATGTGCTGCTCCTACTGATTCTGTGATCTCTACAAACACATCACCTGCTTCTTGTATCCCTGCTGCCTCAGATATTGGCTGTTTGCATAAAGTCAAACAACTTTGACAAACAACTCACATGCCTCTAAACGAGGCAAGATTTTCTTGTAAAACAAAGGGGAGCCTAGCAAAAAAAAGTTTGGGAACTACTGTTCTAGACAAACACCAGGGTCCTCTCTGACTATGGCCGCCGCCCTCACATCTTACATACACACACAAAGACACTCCATGACTCTTACATGTTGCCCCATCTTACAGGCCTATACCTTCCCTTCAAGGAAAGAGATTTACGATTGTTTTTCACTAAGCTGTTGCCTCCCTTCTCCCACAGACAAGCAGGAGGAAACTGTCTGCAACAGAACAAAAGTTATCTATTGTTGAAAAAGAAGATCTTGCTGGTGTGTGGACTGCAGAGAAATGGAGAACATTTGTGAGGCCGACGTTTCACTCTGCGGACAGACCACCAAGCTCTGAAAACGCTGCTGAGCACCAAAGGGATTCATAGGGCTAGAATGAGTATGGCTCGCTGGTCTGCCCGACTATGATGTTATTTACCACCCAGGTTCTCTGAGCCATACAGCTGACTATCTCGTCTGCCTCTGCCTGTTTCTTCCCATCTCTCCTCAACTCTTTGCTTTGCTCTCACAAATACAAAGTGTTTTGCCTGCCTCAATCAAATCACTTGCACCTTATTACAACACCCATAATGAACTCTCAACTCTAAGTAATTATGTTCTCAGAGGCTCAAGGCTCGTTGCACCATGTTCAGTGAGACCTAAACTGAACGCACTAACACATGAAAGGCAACAAAGGATTGTGAACACAAAGCAAAGATTAAGAGACTTCTACTGGTGGCATTGACTGACTCCTACTCCAAATGGCCTTTTCATGTTCTGCTAATACTACTGATGTTATTCAGTTTATCTCATCTGTCTTTAGTCCTCACAGCAACCCAGAGAACATTGTAAGAGAACATGTTACACAGTATACCTCTGAATTGTTCACCTCATTCCTCCAAAATAGAGGCATCTCACAGCAGAACATCTGTCTACTACCCAGCTCCAAATAGAGCAATTGAACGATTTCATCGTGAACCTCTGCACCTGCATCCAGACATCAATCCAGCAGTCACAGCCATGGAAGCAGACTGTGTTGGATTGGCTTCAAGTTTACTGTACAACACTGCATGAGACCACTTCCATGTCTCCCTATGAACTCCTGCATGGCAGAAAGATGCTGAACTGGACATACTACCTTGGCCTTCTGCTGTAAGAAATATCAGATGAAGAGGCAACGTTACACTGATGCTAAGCGTCAAGTATGGAAGCCACCTGACAGGAGAGAGAGTGAGGATGAGGAAACCACATCATTCTGTTAAAGGACCCCAAATTGTTGACTTCAGGAGACACAGCACCGACTTGGCCCCCCTCTACATCAACGGGGAATGTGTGGAGAGGGTCCACACTTTCCGGTTCCTTGGTGTCCTCATCTCTGCTGACATCTCCTGGACAGGAAACATCTCAGCGGTCATCAAGAAGGCCCAACAGCGGCTGCACTTCCTGAGAGTCCTCAGGAAGTACAAGCTGAACTCCAACCTGCTGCTGACCTTCTACCGCTCGTCCATTGAGAGCCTGCTAACCTACTGCATCACGGTATGGTACGGCAGCTGCACCAAAGCAGATAGAGTGAGGCTTCAGAGTGTGGTCAAGACAGCACAAAAGATCATCGGCTGCCCTCTCCCCTCCCTGATGGACATTTATTCCTCCTGCTGCCTCAGCAGAGCAGCAAACATCATCAAGGACAGCTCCCACCCTGGCTTCAACATGTTCAGCCTGCTTCCCTCAGGGAAGCGCTACAGGTGCATCAACACAAAAACCCACAGACTCAAAAACTGTTTCTTCCCCAAAGCGATAACCACCCTGAACTCACACATGCACAGATAACACAACCCCCCCACTTCCCACTTCCTCTATGGACCACCACTGTGCAATACCAATTCTATGTGCAATAACTCAACTGTATATACATAACACTATTTATTACATATTACTTACGTCTTGTATATTGTACATTTTATATATATATATGTTTTTCCCTTTGTTAATACTGTCCATATGTACATAGCGCTGCAGAATTGTGCACCCCCCCCAGCATGTTTACACTGAGTAGGAGATGCTCTGTATCTCATTGTACAACTGTATAGTGACAATAAAAGGCATTCTATTCTATTCTATTTACTCCTCCTGACCTGGTAGCACGCAACTTAGGTTTTTAAGTTAAATAAATAAATAAATGAAGCAAGTATGTGTGACAACAACACACACCGTCTCAATGAACTCAACAAATTTCTCTGTACATTTTCAACCAACAACAACACCCTGAAATAAAAGACAGTCTTCACCCAGATGAGAAAACATTAAATCTCAGAGTGACTGATGTCTGTAAAACTCTGAGGAGAGTGAGTGTATGAAAGGCAGCAGGACAACATTCAAGGACGAGTACTCAGAGAGTGCTGAGCAGCTAGCACACGTCCTTACAGAAATCTTTAACACCTCGCTGGAGCAGAATATTGTTCGATCATGTTTCAGATCTGTCACCATATCTCCAGCGCCCAGAAAATCCACCACCATGCGTTTTGCCCTCTGCATTAACTCCCTTAATAATGAAGTCCTTGTAGAGTCCCTTCCACATCAGTCTTTGTACTGGCCAAAACGCTCCACAGAGCGATGTCCTCTGCTCGTTACCTGAACTTTACGAGAACAGTCACGTATGAATGCTGTTTGTTGGTTGATCATCCCCCAGGAGGTGGTGAAAAAACTGACCCCTCCCACAGGTATCAACACCCCCATTTGTATCTGGCTGCTGGTCTTCCTCAATGAAAGAACTCACTCAGTGAGAGTGGGAAACAGCATCTTCAGCTCCACCTGTCTCTACATTGTTTACTGAGCCCGCTGCTTTTCACGCTGATGACACATGACTGCAGCGCTGCATCTTCCTCTAATCACATTAGGGAACGCAAATGACACAACAGTGGTGGGTCTCATTATGGAAAACATAGATCTGTCCTATAGAGGACCGGTGCAACAATCCTGAATGTCAAGAAGACCAAGAACTTGATCATCAACTTCAGGACAAAACAGTCCAGTCATTCACCACTAATCACTGACAACAGAGCTGTGGAGGTAGTCAGCAGGGTC